TTTGGGATCGAAATCAAGGGTTGTTGCCAAGTTGGAATCTTTGGATTGTTTGGAAAAATGTTTGGGTTGGAAACATCAAACCATTTCCAGTTCATTACAAGACCTGTTGGATGTTGTTCCTACCACGAAATCACTTGGGGAAATTTGTGGGGCTGATATCCAATGGCTTCAAGGGGAAAAAGAACGGTTGGAAAATGACTTGTTCCTGGTCCGTGATGCCCAAAATAAACGGGTTATTAAAATGTGTGGCCTTCAAACTGATGATGTCATGGCCGTGAATCCGGGGGAGGTCTTGCAAACAACCACAATCCCTTTGAATGAAGTCAGAAATGAACTTGGGGAATGGAAGGATGCGATGATGAAAGAATACAACAGTTTGGTCCATGAAACAAAGGCCATTGAACCTGTTGACCGTTCCATGTTGAACCAAGAAGCGGTTGAGTTTGTTCCTGGAAAACTTGTGACTGTTCGAAAAGCGGGTCCAAATGGTGGAAAAAAGAAATGTAGAGCAGTAGTTTGTGGAAACCTGCTGCAAAGTGACTTGGATCCTGCTCCGGGCAATCTCTACGCTTCTGGCGCTGATGGCATTCTGATCAGAGCTACACTGGCTCACTCCGTGCAGATGGGATGGGGCGCTGGCATTACCGACATTCGCACAGCATTTCTCCTTGCTCCTCGGCCGAAACCTCAAGATGCCCGGGAGGTGATTGTTGTGCCCCCAAAAATACTTGTGGAAGCCAAAGTTTGCAGCCCTTCTGAACGGTGGAGAGTTCATAATGCTTTATATGGGTTCACGTCAAGCCCGGCACATTGGGCCGTGCACAGGGATCAGGTCATGAGTGGGTTCACATGGAAGATGGATGGTTGTGACTTTTCCCTCAAAAGAACTGAAGAAGGGAACTTGTGGAAAATCATGAAACATGGTCATGGGGATGCCGAACCAACATGTGAAGGTCATGTTATTGTTTATGTGGACGACATCATGGCTCTTGCAAATGACAATGTTCGAAACTCCTTTTTTGACCGGTTGAAAAAAGAATGGAAGTGTTCCGATGTTGAAACTGTTGACAAAAATGAATGGATCCGGTTTTGTGGTTTTGAGTTGAAAAGACATGATGATGGGGTGAGTCTGATGGTAGGACAAAAGTCTTACACTGCTGAGTTGTTGAAACGTCATGAACATGTTTCCCCAAAGTCATGCCCCATGCCAAAACTGGACAGTTCAGAAACGGATGAAACGGATATCACAACACCTGATGTCCGTGCAGCCCAAGCAATCACAGGTGAACTGCTTTGGCTTTCTGTGAGAAGTAGGCCTGACATAGCCTATGCTGTAAGTGTCATGGGAAGGAATGTTACTAGAAAACCAAGGTGGGTCCAACAGTTGGGACAACACGTGCTAGGGTTTTTGTGTAACACCCCAGAAACTTGCCTCCTGTACCGCCCTTGCAACAAGGACCACGGTGCACATGGCACACTTCAGGTACCAAGGCATGAGAAGCTCATTGAGGCATTCGCCGACATCAGCTTCGCTCCTCAAGGTGACCGCAGTCACCAGGGCATCATTCTATGTGCTGCAGGATCTCCAATTCAGTGGGAGGCAACTCGGCAGGCATTTCACACCATGAGCACAGCGGAATCCGAATTGGTTGGGTACTGCGAAGCCACAACAATGTTGAAATCTGCTGAGGCCCTATGGAAGGTTATCCATGGTTCATGCAACACGGGTGATGGTCTTGATGGGTTTGAAAAGGTTATTTATGGGGACAATTCCAGTGCACTTAGGATACTTATGAACCCTGATGGTGGATGGAGAACACGCCATTTGAGGCTTCGTTCGTCTTGCTTGCGTGAGTTGTTAAAAAGTGACCCCCAAACATGGAAAGTCAGACACCAAAGGGGAGTTGACCTTCCCGCTGACATGCTCACCAAACCAATCACGTTGTTGAGGGATTGGGTTAAGTTCTGGCATTTCCTTGGGTTTCATGTTGATGCGTCAATCCCCAAATGTGACCCCGAAAACACACCTCAAAAAACCTCCAAAGGAGGTTTCCAAAACAACCGCCACTTCAGGACCTGATGAAACTAAGGGATCTGATGATGTGGTGACCAAGGTGAAGGTGATCGTGGCTATGGCTGCGCTGGCTGTGGCGTCTTCAGCAGCTGGGCGAGCTGATGTGCGGCTGGCCTGTGCTACTGCTGCTGCTGCATGCGCTGGATGGCTGGCTTGCACCTGGCACCCTGCGCCTTCATCAGCGGATCGATCCAAAGAGATCTGTTTAGACGGGAGGGAGGTGGAAAAACCATCAAGAGCCATTGGCCTCAAAAGTGAAAAAGATGCCAGGGGAGATGAACCGGCCAAAGAAAACCCTCCAAGGGAAAATGAACCTGGAGGCATAAATCCTCAAATAAAAACCAAAAAATGTGTGAGATCTCCAAGGGAAGATGAACCTGGAGAAAACAGTTTTGGGAAGGTTTGGGATGAACCCCTCAAAAACCAATTTTGGGCTCACCGAACCTATGAAAGTGAAAGGGATTTTTGGGACAGTAACCCTGAAGAAGGTCTTGGTTTTGGGGATTTTGTGGCAGGAAACAGCTGTGGCATGGCGCACAACAGTTTTGAGTCCGTTGGTGGTGACTCTGAACATGTTGCTAAACTGTTGCAGCCACCGTTGGCTGATACCTACCACTGCCCTACGGGCTGCCCAAAAGTTCCGGCCGTGCGACTTGCTGCCATGGCCCCAAAGATGTCTAAGCCTGTGCCGCCGCTGCCACCACAAGAGCATGGCGATGCCGCTGCTAGGGCTCCAAAGATGTCCAAACCTGCGCCGCCGCTGCCGCCGCAAGAGCCGGGCTTTGCTGCTCCAAAGGCTGCTCCTAAGCCTGCAGCTGTGCGACGCAAAGCGCCGCCGATGATGCTGCAATGCGCTGCGGCGATGGGTGCACCTTCCAGCTCCTCTGAAATAAGGGGACCCTACATCGGCGCTTTGCCGAAGTTTCCTCCAGCCCGTCGAGATGCAGAAATGGCTCAAAAGGCTGCTGGTGGAACCATGCTGGACGATATGCCAAGGCATGGACCCTGGCTGGATAGTCGGTACCTCCAGCCGAACACCACAGGAAAAAAGGACTCTTGGTCCGTTGCGAAGTGCGGTGAAGAAATCTTCTTGGTCAAAGTACACAAGTCACCGAGGAAACAGAGGTTTCATCCACTGCACCGTTCGGCACCAATTGAAGCCCAGTTCTTGACTGGTGAAAGGGTCACAAAGGCCTTTTTTTGTGAATCCTGCTGATGGAGTGGGGTTCTTGGTTGCTGACCGATGGGACGATCCGGTCGTCAGAGCCGAGTCACGATGGATCGGCTACACCTTCCTGACAATGAGGCGGGAAGTCATGGAAAAGATGAACCTGAGCATCCAGCTGGAGCCGGCTGCAACTGCAGAAGACCCTCCATGGCCCCAGACTGAGGTGCCCAAAGATGATGACCTAGACGTGCACGTGGGACAGCACTATGAAATGGAGACGCCACGACGTCATCGACCACAACAAGCTCCTGGTTTGATGGTTGGCCGCTTGTACCTGGATGGATGTTTGGCCAGTAGTCAGAGCGGAACCGTGTCAAGTGGTGGTTCCTCTGAGCTGCGGCTGGTTCCCCTCTTGGAGCCGACCAGCCAACACAACAAGACCTCCGGAGCACCCACGGTAGGATATAGCCGTGGTGGTGTGATCCAACGTGGGATCGCTGCTATGCCCTCCTCTACAGGTTCAGACCTGGGTTCCATGCCGAAGTCCTACGTCCCTCTGACCGTGGAATGGGACGTCACCAACACCTTGAGCTCAGACTCTAGCCAAAGGGTTCCTGACTCCTTCGTCTCCCATGTCGAAGAGTGGTCTTTGTTGACCGACCCTGAGTCAGATGATGCCAATGTGAATGAGGAGGAGCCCTGACACAATGAAGACCTGAAAAAGCGCTGCTGAGAGCCGGGCTCGAAAGCCATTTTGGCTGAACTTTTGATGTTCCGCAGCAAGCTGCGGGGGGGAGTGCGATTCATGAAGCATTCCACCAGCTGCTGTGGATTTTAAAATTTAGAAGTTGACATGTGGTGGCATGCACTAAACATAGCATGGCCACTGCGCAAGGATGACAACATGATGCCAATGCAAATTGGCTCAAGCCAACGAAAGTTGGCTCAAGGGCGAGACGAAAAAGGTCTTGCCTAGCAGCTGCTGATTCAGCTGTTGATCCACGGTTTCAAATCCTTTTTGTAGCAGATCATTCCCAGTCCCCAGCAATGGACTTGGAACTCTTCCTCTTTCGGGAGCGCCCGAAGAGGTACTATGGCCATGGATCGAAAACCCTAGAATTTCATGGTATTCGCATCAAAATCGCTGACAGTTATGTATGTTACTGTATGTTTGTATCCAAATTTCATATGGGAAAGTCACTGGTATTGAGCTATCAACATGTATCCTTAACTTACAATTGGAACATGGCGATCACGCCGAAACAGTGGGGACTACCATAATCTGCTTGAACAGCAAGTTGCAGTTGGCAATCTTTTGCCGGGATTGTTTCCAAGTGTTGCTAAGAGGATTTGAACGCTTCTGAGTTGCTTTCAATCATGGTGAGGCAAAACAATTGGACCCATCTGGCCAACTGAGACTAGATTGTTTTTTTAATCCTTCCTTGCAAAAACCTCCAACGTATCCAAGCAACATTTTATATAACCTGGAAGATGGAGCAGCAACCTGGTTACTTTGCAAGAACTGCTACCACATGTTGTATTTGACCCCGGAACCTTTACAATTTTTTAGTTCACAACATGTTTGAGGAAGGAGTGGACATATGCACAACAGATAGTACAACCCTTTAAAATTTGAATCCTTCATGTTTTTTCCCAAGACCAACACCAGTGTTGTCATGCCCTTCCCATCACATTCCGGGCGTCACAACACCGACACCAGTGGTGCATATTGAAATCCAGGTTTGACTGCCAAGCTGCCAACAGATTCCGACAGAGAAGCTCTAGGCGAGATGTGGTTGCTCACCACATAGTAGCTGCAGGTTACAATCATCAGGAAAACAACGATTCCTGAGTTGCACTTTGCCCTTCACCCACACGATGACATCTTTCAGGGGCCTAGTCACATGTTTCACAAGATTCGATCCCACATGATCCCATTTTTTCCTGTTGCCAAAACGCGAAGAAGAAATCTACAGGTCGTGAACAGAAGATACAGAAAATTAAACAAAAATCAAATAAATCTTCCATGACAAGTGCCCGTTAGGCACCCCCAGGTGTGCAAGAAGAAAATCAACTTGTCTATTGCCGGCATGCGGCATATAATAGTTTCAATTTTTGGTTGAAAATATATAGAACCACCTCTGCTTACAGATTGAAGATGAAGAACTCCACAAGTAGCAAAAAACAAATTAAGCCCCAACATCAGCAACGGAATTTCTAATACCAGCGAAGGCCTAAGGCCACTTCAGGGTGGCGAAAGAAATAGCGAATAATAGCGAAGGCCATCATAGGATGGCAAAAAGCACAGTTGGAAGAGTCTTTGCCTTGTTTCAGCCAAGAGTTGTCGTTGTTGGATGGATTAGTTTGTATAAGAGGAATTGTGGCATTCATGCCAACAAAGCTCTAGAGATGAAATCATTCAATTTTTGTTTGTTCTACCAGGCCTGCGAAACAAAGGCAAGTAGGAGGAAGCACTGTTACTCTGAAAGCTCGTTTGTTGCATGGGATCCGAATCGTTGGCTCTCAACAGATGGCCTGTAAGTTTGCTTCTTTTCTCCTCAATGCCCACTGCCGAATGGTCCAAGTCGACCTGGTGTCATTGCTTGCCTGGTTTCTACGTTCTCTGGTCCATGTAAGTGGTGTTCATGTTTTATCCGCCAACCCCACGGGTCAGAAAAGAGGGATACGACACAAGGGGTAACGTCCACGAGGCCAGCGTTTGTGACTTTCACGGGCCCACTGTTTGGATGTAGCCAAAGAGTCCGTTTGTGCAGCGCTGTGGCTGCATTTAGAGCCTAGCGGCTGAAGCAGAAAATAACATTAGGCACTGGAGCCTCCCAGCGGACCATGAACATATGCTTGGCCCTCATATCTTTGGTAGAGGCCGGGAGTACTTGCAGTTCACCAGTGATGAAGTTGCTGAAAAGTGGTACATGTTCTTGAATTTTTGTGTCAGCTGTGATCTCAAAGTCATGAACACGTTTTTCCAGACGGTTCCGGAGAACCAGCTCACGTTCAGAGAACCAGCTACTAACCACGAGCCCCCTTGGACCCCAGAGCGTTTTGCTTAGCTAGATTATGTTTTAGTTCTTGAAAGATGCAAAAATCAAAAAATGATGTGACTGCTGTGATTGCATATTGTTGTGTTCGACTCCAAGCCAAGCCTAAGCACATTCATAAACCCAAATACTGTCAGCCCACGCGAGAACAAAGTGCGGCTTTTAACACTGTGATTGCTCAATACATGCAGGAAACCACTCGTCGTGATATTGGTGTTTTTCTTCAGGCCATTCAAGATGCAGAAAAGCGGTGTTTTACTGAGGTGCCACTTAAGCAACGCAGACCTTACATCTCTCGACCCACTTGGAACAAGATTTTGATGAGAAACCAGGCGCATGAACAAAGCAATTGGGCCACTGTTGCGCAGCTTAACGCAGAAATCAAAAGGGATGCTCGTAAAGACAAAAGGAAAATTTAATCAATACCCTTGAGCAGTGGTAAAATGAAAAAGAAAATGGGAAGGCCCAAAGCTCTTCAAATCCAAAAACTGATTCAGTTTTCCAAGTTGAAAGACCGTCATGGTAACAGAGTGGGACCTTGCCAGCGTGCAGAAGCAATTGCCGATTATTTACTCCACGAACACTGGTGCCCTGCACCAGCCCCACCAACCAAAAATCGATGTAAGCTTATTAGCCAGTGGCCTGGGGATGAACACAGACGTTCTCAGCAACGAAGTCATCGCTGCCATCAGAAAATGAAACAAGGGAAAGCGCCAGGACATGACAAGGTTAATATCGACACAATTAAAGCACTAGACGCGGAAAATTGCATTTTTTTGACACTTGCTTTCAATGGGTGGTGGACGTCGGAAAGCGTCCCCACAGACCATCTCAAAGCATTGGTTGTATCGATGTTCAACAAAGGAAATACACAGGATGTCGCGAATTATAGACCCATCTCCTTGTTGAATTCTACTTACAAGATATTCACTTCGATACTACAGACCCAGATTGCCATAACTCAATATGGTTTTGGAAGTTCTCGTTCAACCCAGCAGCCCGTGTTTATTGCAAGAAATCCAAGACATCGCGGAGGCAAGTGGTGGCGAGTTATTATTACGCAACATTCTTGGACTGGAAGCAAGCGTTTGATAAAATAAATCACCATCGTATGTTCGAAGCTTTGGAACGAACGAACATTCCACCAAAAGTGCGTCGGATTATCAAAGCTTTGTATAGGAAACCCTTCCTTTCAAGTTCGGCATGATGAGTTCACTTTGCAAGCATACTTTCAGCACTTAGCCCTTATCTTTTTATTATCGTCATGAGCGTGCTTTTTGCTGACATCTAACGGGACCATCTTCGAGCCCTTTCATTTATGGAGCTTCTTTTTTGCCAATGACACTCAGCAGCGCTCCAGAAAGTGACCTCTGGGTGCATGTAACGAAACGCTGGCCTCGCGGAGCCTTAGCCCCATTCCCCTGATGACGGACCAGGTGCTCCGCTCGGAGGCTCCAGTGCCTAACGTCGTTTTCTGAACGGAGAAGAAAAATTAGCTTCAAATGCAACACGTGCTGGGAGATGCCCCGGAACGACGATGGACGCATGTGCTGACCTTAACGCCTCGCAGAGCCGTCCCCCTGAAGGATGGACCAGGTGCTCCGCGGGTCGCTTTCTGAACGGAGAAGAAATTAGCTTCAAATGCGCTCGACGGCCTCCAAAGGAAACGGACCTCTTGGATGCATGTGATCATGAAAGTGACAAGACGCTGGCCTCGCAGCACATGCCCCTGAAGGACGGACCAGGTGCTCCGCTGGGGGAGGCTCCAGTGCCTGACGTCGCTAAAATTGCTTCAAATGCATGCCAGGCTCCAGATACATCAGCAACGCTCCCGAAACGGACCTCTTCGATGCACGTGCCCGTGAAAGTGACAAGACGCTGGCCTCGCAGAGCTTTACCCCAATGCCCCTGAGGGCATTCCGAACGGAGAAGAAATTAGCTTCAAATGCAGTTGCCATGGTTTAGGTGCATCAGCAGCGCTCCGGAAACGGACCCAAGTTTTCCGCTGGGAGGCTCCAGTGCCTAACGTCACTTTCTGAAAGGAGAAGAAATTGGCTTCAAATGCGGAAGCGCGTTCCCGGACCTCTTGTGTGCATGTGACGACACGAGCCTTCTTGTGCTCCAGCTTGGCATGGATACGTGGTTAAAGTCACCAAGCACAAATTTGGGGTGTGCGCGTGGGCAATGTGTTGAAACATGATTCCAGTTGGTCGTAAAAGACTTCTTTGACATGAGTAGCCACACCGCTTTGTGGTGCGTGCGCATTCAGGATATGAATCGGAGGTCCAGAAGTTTGAAGAGATATTAGCAGAAAACTGGCTGCTTTTTTGCTTAAAGTCCAGTAAATATAGTTTTGCCACTGGGTTTAATACAACACCAACATCATGACATTATCTTTTTTAAAGGTGGGTGGGGAAGAGCAGCCTGCCCCTTCCCTCGGCCTCGGCCTTTGCCTTTATTGACTTCACGAGTTCTGTTGGTTTCAGCCTGTTTCCTTTGCTCATCCGTGATGGAGGTGGAATACACAAAGGCATGTCCTTTTAAAACCTCAGTGCTGTTCGTGTTGACATGGGTCTTCTGCAAGGGAAGGATATCATCAATTTTGTGGTCTTGCAAAACTTTGACGAGGAGATGTTATTTGACATCTCCTCCATGGGGCTTGAGACCTTTGCAGTTGAAGGTGCCAACACGAAGGGTGTGTGCATATGGCAGTTTCGTACACGGAAGAGCTTGGAAATCTTTGTTTTTGCTGGGGTGGCTCCTTATATTTCTTAAGTAGCCATCTTTGCGCCTGATATGAGGTTGGTCTGTTGGGCTCGGAGGTTTCTAGGGCCCCGTGCTTATACATTGCGTGGGGCCAATGCCACACAATGTTTGGACGTTTCTTTTTTGAATTCTCTGAAAGGTTGCCTATTAGGTTTGGTTCGTTGAGATCTGTCAGTACGTCTTTGAACGGTAGCTGCGTTCGACCTCAAACCTCTCTTTGCTGCGGCTCTTTTCCCGTCAGCTGCTTCATTCAAACATCCATGGGAAAAACTTCGGCTCCGCAGAGGAAAACCTCGTGGCTGTTCCGGCCCGCCTTGCAAAGCTGAAGGCATTTGGGTGTTAGCATTATTTTGGTGGGGTGTCTCTTGCTTCCCCGAAGTGTGGGTGATACAATCAATCTGTCCTGGCGGGTAATATCGCCGGCCCTTTCGGGCAGAGGTTTTCGAAGTCCGGCTGTTTAACAGCAAATAATAGCGATGGCCCCTAAGGGCGATAGACTCCCAGAGTCAATCCTTCCTTGCATTGTCGTCTTCTTCTTGTCTCCTCTTCTGTGATGCTGCTCTGGCTGTGCTTGTGTTTTCTGTTTGGCAAGGCGAAGCTCCCATGGAAAGTCCGATGGGGTGTATGGCTTGCTTCGTGTCCATTGTGTTGTTTTGCCTTTTCCTGCGCTCTTTCCATGGCTTCCTGCATTTTGTTCTTCTTCCTTCTTGATATTGTAGCTCAAGGTGTCCCAGGCTCTTCCCCATTGTTCTTCGATGCGCTCAAACAGGTCAAGCCTAATGATGATGGCGCCGATGGCTTCCACTTCGTCGAAGTCAATGTAGACAATGGTGTCTGCTCCATCAAGGATTGCATGATCTTTCCGCTTGACGGTCAGTTTGTTGATATCTCTGTGGAAGGGGCTATGGTGGTGTGTGCCATGGGCTTCCATGCAGACTTTCAAAAGAATGCCTTTGGTGCGGCTGATGTTGCCAATCTGCATGCGCTGCCTCAGCGCGTACTTGTCCCATGTCTAGCCGTTCTGGTCCCAGTAGTGGGCTGGGGATTTGGTTGTGAACGTTTTGCGCCACCATTCCATTTGGATGGTGATGATGCTCATATAGCTAAGCATGTCTTCTCTTGTTCTGTGGCTCATCATTAGTACTTCTTTGTCCGTGTTTGCCTGTGGGACCGCCCAGTGAAGGATTCTGTCTCTGTCTTGCTCTGTGTGTCCTTCTTTCCCTAGATGCCAACCTGTGATGACAATCTCTTTTGCTGCTTCCCTGTTTTGCTGTGCCTCAACTTGCTGCATCAGGTATGCCAGGTATGCCGAAGGTTCGCGATGCCTAAGCCATGCTGTCGATGATGTGATTGTTTTCATCCCGTAGTTCATCGACATCTTGTTCCAGGTTTGTAGTGCGTTGTAGGAGTCGTGCTGGCTCCGAGGGTGCGCTGATTGCTAGGTCACTCTGCCGTTTAATTCTGTAGTCATCGATCTTTCTGTAATCAATGCGCCTATCATCCATCTGCACTTTCTTGAGTTGTGATCTGTGGATTGTCAGAGCATCATCTTCTGCTGTGTGTCTGGGTCTCTGCAGGGTGCTTGCCTGTGCCGCCTTTTGTTTGTATGCCTTTGCCTGCTTCTTCTCTTTCTTTGATTTCTTTTCCTTTCTTTCTTCTCTCTCTCTTCATCTTCGTCTCTTTCCGATTTCGATGACTTCGCCATGTGAGGAGAAGGACCGGGGGAACTTGAGCGGATCAGGGGCACAACTAACACCTTTCCGTTTGGGCCTCACTTGATCCCATAACCCTCCATAATCTCACTGTCATAATCACTCTGGTGTACTTTGAAAACTTGGGATTCCTTGAGGGCATTTTCCAAATACCTCATCTTCATCATCTTCATCATCCTCATCATTCTCATCATCCTGTGTCCTGCCTCGCGCCGCCGAGTGTCCAACCACCCACGCTCCAGTGACCCACAAATTGCAGTCAGCACAACTATTGCCCATCCACGTTTCACCTTCATTTGGGCCAAGATTTGGGGATCAAATTGGACAAGGATTTGTCAGCAGCATCACATCCTACGAAGTTGACCTCCAGCTACTGATAGCTCCAATCAGCTGATGCGGTGATCTGTGTGACACTATCTAGTTCAAGTTCCTACCGCCAGTTGCATCAGTCCTGTGATTGTGGGACCATGACATCAGTCCTAACACTCTCAAGGCCCAAACCAAAAAGGTTCCCTTTGTCAGGGAGACCTCTGAATATCTTAAATATCAACAAATGCTCTACAAAATGGAGAAAAATCGGTAGTGTTTCGTGAAAAGACACGATTGTTTCTACAGGTTCCAAATTGCATCATTGTTATAATATCACTGTTGTTTCAAGTTTCCCCAGCATTGTCAATATATTGGTTCTAGTGTCAACCCTGGATTCTTATTCACCCTTTCACCCTGGTTGGTTAAGGATCGGGGGTGCCCCCTAAATAGTGACCTCTCCAATGGCGCCTGCAGGACACTGGGCACAAGCTATCTCTGTTCGACCCCGGGCACACTGGCCTGGTACCTTAGCGACAGGGGCTCGGGTCAAAGAGGGCAACACCAATTCAGGTGATGTTTGAAGACAAATACAGTGGCACACATGTATACATTTATTTATATATATATATATATGTGTGTGTATTGATATACAGTGCATATAAATATATATATATATACATTCGTATAAATGTATATATATATATAGGTATGTATGTGATATTTGCATATGTATATATGTATGTATATATATACATATGTGTATATATATATATACATAAGAATATGTACATAAACTAATCTGTATATATATATATGTCTGTACACATAAACATATGTAATTATATATATGTGTGTGTGTGCATATATATATATATACATATGTATGTGTAAATGTATACATGTGTGTGTATACATTCATATATATATATATATACATGTAATCATATATTTATATACATATCGACATACATGTATGTGTATATATATATATATATGTTATTTGCATATTATAGATAGAGAGATAGAGAGCGAGATAGATAGATAGATAGATAGATAGATAGATAGACAGATAGATCGATAGATCGATAGATTGATCGATCGATAGATCGATAGATTTGCAAGTTCCCTCGTCGGCCTGGTTCTAAGAAATAGTAAAATCAGTTTTTTTTTGTTTTTGTGTATATTTTTTTTCATTTTGAAAGTTCTTTTTTTTTCATGCTTTTCTGTTTTTTCTTCTTCTTTTTTTTGGACATCATTTTGAAAACTGCTTGGTATGCCACCTGGTATTTCAAAAACTGGTACTTTGGAACTTTCTTACCCTCAAAACTGGTACTCTTGGCTGCCTTTGTTCCTCAAAAGTCTCAGGTTTGTGAAATAGTTCCTTTTGAAAAACAAAAGCAGCCAAGAGTACCAGTTTTGAAAATAAGAAAGTTCCAAAGTACCAGTTTTTGAAATACCAGGTGGCATACCAAGCAGTTTTCAAAATGATGTCCAAAAAAAAGAAGAAGAAACACAATTAAAAAAATGAACTTTCAAAATGGAAAAAAAATGAACTTTTAAAATCTAGAATTTAAAAATCTAAAAACAAAAAGAATATTCAAAAAAAACGATTTTTGATTTTTCAAAATTGCCAAAAAAAATCAAAGAGAAGAGAATCGAACAGAGTGAACCGTCCTGCTGATCAAAATTTCAGAAGGGGAAAAAAATGAACTTTCATGTTGAGCCAATTTCTGAAATGAACTTTCATGTCAGACCAGATTTGCAGAATGAAAAAAAATAAAAATAAAACAAAAAAATGAAAAAAATGAACTTTTTCGTTTTTTTCTTTTTTTTCATTCTGAAAGTTCATTTTTTTCCTGGTCCCCAAAAAAAGTTCATTCTGAAATTTTGCCCACGTCAAAAGTTCATTTTTTTTTCATTCCGGAAAAATGTTCGAAGCAAAAGTTTGTTTTTTTGTTTATCTCCTTGTTTCAAAATTTCAAGTTCAAATACCCTATCCCAAACCCGCCCTAAACCCTAAGAGTTTAGGGTTTAGGATTTTGGTTTTTGGTTGGTTTAAGTTAAGTTAAGTTAAGTTGAGCAATCAACCTCAACAAATCCTGGCCAGGTTTCCCTTTGCCACAAATGAAACAATTGTCAAAAATTATATTTAGAAATTTAATTTCTTAGGCTTTGGAACACTTTCTCCAGCAATTTGAACATTTTGGCCATGCCAAGCAAGAACCCCAACCTGTCACAGCCAGAGACAGCCTCAAAAGCCCCAAGGAAGCCCAGCAAGGCCCAAAAATGTTTCATTTTTTCCACTGGGGATCACAAACTCCAATCACAAGCCAAAAAAAGCAGAAATGAAAATGAATTCAAAATGAAGGCCGGAAAAAAACCAGATTTCCAAATGAACTTTAAAAATGAAAAAAAAATGAAAAAAACAACTAGTTTTAAGATGCTTTAGAACCAGGCCGCGGTGGAACTTGCAACGATAGATCGATAGATGGATGGATGCAAGGATGGATGGATGGATGGATAGATAGATAGATAGATAGATAGTGAGAGAGAGAGAGAGAGAAAAAAAAAAAGGTGAGATTTACATAAGCAAATATATCCATGCGAGTCTTAGTGGACAATGCCCGACCCTTTGACCCGCAAATAAAGAATACCTGAGAAGGGAGGAACGAAAGCCAGAAGGTGGGTGCGAAGAAGAAGGCGAGGAAGAGGGAGGATGCGGGAAAGAGAGTAGATCGAGGAGAGGTGGTGCCAGGAACGCACGAGCTTTTGTCTCGCTGCAGCGGGCGAAGCTGAAAGGTGCAGAAGTAGGCTGCGAAGGTCCTCAAATGCACCTCCCACAATCCCTACCGTTGCACCGTATAAACGGTTTTGCTCGTTTCTTCCATGGTTTTATTTCCGTGCTTCTACTCCATAGTGGTCACACATCGAAACCGCAATTTTTCCATTGCTTTTCCATTGTTTCACGCATGCTTTACGCGATAATGGTCCCATATCGGAGCCTCAATTTTTGCATTGTGTTTCCATCCCATCAATTTCCGTCATTTTACTCTTATTTTACTTGGCATCATTTTGGTCCCACATCAGAGCCACAATTTTTCCATTGTTTTTCCATTGTTTTACTCCACTTCTTCATCATAGTCCCTCGATTTTTCCATTGCTTTTCCATTGCTAATGGTCTCACATCGAAGCCACAGTTTTTTCCATTGCTTTTCCATAGTTTTACTCGCCATCATTTTCCCCTCCATTCCAGTCTCCCCAGTATTTTTTTCACAGTTTTTCCTCCAGTTTTACTCAATCGTCTCATAGTTTACGCTATCAATTTAGCCTTCCATTTCATCAATTTTTCCAGTGTTTTGCCATGGTGTTACTCGATTTCTCCATCATTACCCTTATGTTACCTCAGTGTGTCTAACGCTTACCTAGATACACCTCCCACAATCCCTACCGTTGCACCGTACAAATGGTTTTGCTCGTTTCTTCCATGGTTTTATTTCCGTGCTTCTACTCCATAGTGGTCATACATCGAAACCGCAATTTTTTCATTGCTTTTCCATTGTTTCACGCGTGCTTTACGCGATCATGGTCCCACATCGGAGCCTCAATTTTTCCATTGTTTTTCCATCCCATCAATTTCCATCCTTTTACTTTTATTTTACTTGGCATCATTTTCCAAGCGTTCTACTCAAATTTTCCATTGTTTTCCCATTGTTTTATCTGATATTCCCTCATTTGTTCCATTGTTTTTCTCATCATTTTCCCCTCCATTGCAGTCTCCCCAAGTCCAGATCGGAGGACGGACCAGGGGGGAATCGATACCACACCGTCACCCAATTGCCACCTGGTACAGAACCCTGAAAAAGCTCACCTCGGTCCGCCTTTTTTACCACCTAATTTCGTGATTTAGTAGCCGTTAGGCCCGCTCTCCCCCAAAACCCCCTAAACTCACTTTGTTCGCAAAAAAAACTTCACCTAGCCTAGCGGCTGGCTTTCGTGATGACATCGTGACATCCTTATATAATACAGTTAGTTCGTCGCCAAAGCACCCTTCCTGGACACTGCCATGTCTTCCGGCATTTGAAGATGATCAAGGGCTGATCCACAGTGCTATAATATCCTCAGTGACGTGTGGGGAGGGTTTTGTATGAATTGGCTTGATAAAATAGAGATTCAACCACCACAAAATAGAGATTTACCGTTTTGATAATGATTGGACGGAACCATTTACGGGGTTCATTTCACTTTGATGAAGGAAGGGCGTGGCTGAATCAACTCATGACTGTCTTGGAATACTGGGACCCATTGCAGTTTTGGCACACTTCATCAGACAGTAGTCACTGAGTACGGCGGTACACCAAGATGTGCAGGATACAGTGATGGATCAAAACCGCGTCACCCTGGTCTTCACGCCAAAGTAATCTGTACAGTTCGTTCATCCTTCCATCAAGAAACTTAGGCCTTTACCCATTTTACCCATTTTACCCACCTTCAAGTCATATCCGTGACCAACTGCTACGTGCTCATCGCTTGCCGCGCCGCGCCCCCCATCCCAAAATGTGCCTCTTTGAATGGTGGGAAGGAAGCGATCCCCCAGAGGTGATGTGCCAGATCGGAGGGCATCAATCGAGGAAGCGAAAGGACACCGGATGCCTTCGTTGCATGTCACCTGGGCCGCATCGCATCGCACCGTTTCAAACGGTCCTATAAATTGTTGCTCGGCGAGTCGGTGATGTCTAAGGAAACCGACTCAAATTGTTGTTCAACACTTTGAAAACTACTTGTCAACAGGCATGCAAGCGGACAGCAACGAAAAACCATCTGCTAGAAGACAATACTCTCGAAGTCCAAAAAGGACAGTCCACAAGTCTTTGTTTCATTGAGAGTGCAGGACGTAGTACTTTCTGCTGGCTGCCAGAGCCTTACTTCTTTGTTCAAAAGGTGAAGGATTCCAACACTCACACGCAAACGAAAACAAATCCAAGCTGCACATCTGATGTCATCCTCGCAGGGGGGAAATTTACACACTTTCCAGCATCACATGCCAAAGGACATGCGGAAAATACACAGAAAAACAATATGATTATGTAATAGTAAGAACAGTGGTAACAATCACGATAATAATCATAGCACAAGTAAAAAGAGTAAAAATCAATGATAGTACGATGATATATGATCATATGTTTTGTTAATATTCATGTTTGTATATTGAGAAACATAATTCCACTGTCCAATTGTCTGGTTTATCATGATCGTCGTTTGGGTCAGGCTTTTGGGCTCACGGGAGCACACATGGTCATTTTTGGGATCTAAAACACGATTGCCTATTAAATGCGAGGTTAACATGGGCTAACCATCAAATCATCAAACATGTGTATAAAAAGAGTGGTTAACCATCAAAAACGGGTATTTGACCCACATGAATGGTGGATATGAGTCTGAAAATGGTGGATTTAACATGATTTAACCTCCAAATGGCCATTTGAATGGGAAAATGATAATGAATCACTGAATTGTGGGGTACCCTATTTTCAGACCAACTTATCTTGCTAGATATTGTTAGGTTACCCATCTTTGATCCATCCCAATACAACTTTTGGGTCAAACCTTCATCCAATTTGTGTCCACTTCACGCTTTTGGCCAATGAAGCTTGGCCAAATTCAACCATCCAACCTTTTCGGGTGGTTGCCCACAAATCTAGGCAATGGAATGAAGCCATTATCAGGATCAGGATTAGATTGGTTTAGGGAGATTTTAGAGAAAACCAACCATTTGGCTGAAGAAAGAAACAAACATGTTTCCTGTTGACTTCTGGCGTCCAACTGCGTAATGCGTATCTTCCTCAACCAATTTTCCCCCAGTAGGATATTCTTCAGATCGTTCAATGAGTTCAACTCAGTGCCCACAATTTTTACGAACAGACTTAGAATGAGGCACTCTGCAACATCTCTTCTGCCCCAATGCGGCATGTTCAGACTGTAAAATGTTGGCCAGAAGTAGTGCTGCTTGGAATGCCTTTTGAAACTGCAACGAACTCAGCCAAAAACACCACAAACCTGGAAAACAGGCTCCTTCAGGAGAGGTGGCTGGCGGCCAACATTGATGGTGCCTTCATTGCAGCCACACTCCGAAATGCTTTGTGATGCGAGGCCGATGGATGTTGTTCCACTGGGGCAGTCCTGGTGCCGACGGGGCAGCTACCTCGATGCCTTGGGAAACAACGTTCAGTGTTGTCACATCTCCAAACTTACCCCTAATGCATTTACTACTGAGCCGCAGAGTAGTCAATGTTAGCCGCCCGGACTGCTCAGTCCTTGCATGCAGATTGGCCTTTGGCGTCTTGATAGCTACCAATGCTACATCGTTTGCAAGAGGAGCTTCCATGCCTAAGCTCTCTCCCATAAGAAGCGTCATATCTGAAGCCAAAGGTTCCTGAACTCCTCCAATTTAAATGACCGTGCACATGCTTTCTCAATCTCCCAATCCTTTCACTTGTTCCCATGAAACCAATTGCATTTGACCTAACTTCCCGAAAGTAGGGCTAGCAGTGACAATCAATGGATTTATATACTGAGAAAGCACTAGACCCAATTAGCTTTCTGGGACAATCAGCTCGGATTTGGCACGGGCTCCAAATATTCAGCAAGGAGCAAATCCTGAAAATTCCCTTTCGGGCACAGGTCACAGGACAAAGCCCCCGGCAGCTCTTGTGCTGTGCCTGGACAAATTCGCTCGATCTTTCTGTGAGTCTTCACTCAGTTAAGCCTTTGATCTGCTGACAGGTCGTCTGTCTATGCCATATGGCTGAAACCCAGGTTTTTTTCCATTCCAAAATTATCCTCCGGTCTCATCAAACCTGGCTGGCTGGAAAATTTTCTGAACTAATAAATAAATGAGGGATTTTCCATACTCAACTGTGCTTGCACTCTTACCCTCTCCTGTTTAAAAAAAACGCCAGCCTGGTGGACATGTCTCGCAAATAAAGGTCGAGCCGTTCTTGTCTCCTTGGTTGCTAAAGAAGGCGGACCAGCCACACAAACCTTGCTGGACCTGTGAATGACGACTGGTTTGGTGCATTTGGGATGGGGTCCTGAAAGTTCTGCCCTGGATTCTTTCCCTCTCCTAGGGCCATCAAACAGAACAAGTTGGGACATGCCCATAATGCTTCGAAGTTTGCTGCGAAGTCATATCTCAAATAATGGTCATATTGATAATGGGAAAAGATGGGAAAAAGGATGGAAAAGGTACTTGAAACAGGCAGCCTCAAAGCATCTCAAAGCTATATTATCAACTAAGGGTCTTGATCGTAAGGAATATGAACCTGTTTCGCAAGCTCGACACTCGAGGTCGTTCGTCTCACTGTCTCCATTTGGGTCAGCTAAGAAACCTCAGCATGCAGCAACTTGAACACTCGGGTCCGGCACCAGCCCTGGGTAGACATGGGTCTCAAAACAGGGACCATAATTATACCATATGAATCCATATAACACAAACATATACAAAAATTGGCAATCTGCGGACGGGGAACATGATGATAAACCGTGGACTTTTGGGGTTCCAAATTGTGAGATCACCTCAATTCCAAACAGTAATCCAAACAAATCCAAGCTAATCCAAGCGGCCACTTTGCGGGTCGTACACACCAAAGCGCGGCAAACACTCGGATGCCTTGCCACATGCAGCGTGAGGACCCCGAAAAGATCGAAAAAAAGTCATGACATGGGATCCAATCACAGGACTAATCCGTCAAACCCAATTAACATGGATGAATAATTCAACGGTTTCAACATGAACAAAAACCCTTCTTGAACTTGCCATAAACTGGGGCAATTTCCCTGATTTCAACGTCTATTTCAACAGGTCAGAACCGCGGCGCCTTGGGCAACCATGTTTGCCAGGTCTGTGTGTTGGACTGCAGCCATCGACATGCAACTAAAGAGTAGGCTTCCCTTGTATTCAGCTGCTCCTCGAGCATGGAATTCACCTGGGCACCGGACACGGAGTTGGCTTCCCCTCATGTGGCACCGCTAGAACTGTTGGGAAGTACAGTTGTGGCCTGGCCAGCCAACTCTCTCACCATCCAGTGGAAATTCATGCAAACTCAACTTGTTCCGATGACAACGTTGGTTCAAACCTGGTGTGTTTGCTACTTTGACCGCAAACGGTAGCGTCTGTATCAAGTGGCCATAGATAGGTCCATCTGGAAGTTCTCGACCAGTTGTACAACTCTGGGAGCCAAGTGCCGCAAATCCTAGGTGTGGAACTGCGTCACCACTCGACGTTTGTGTCTGGGTCCCAACCCCTTGAAACACATCCCAAAGAGCACAACAACGAGAGGGTGATGCAGCTAGAGTATCACGTGCTAAGGTACCCCTCACCACCCGCACAAGAAGCAAACGAGTTTGCAGACAAATTGTCTGTGGAATCGTCTGTTGGCTACCGAGTTCTGATTTTCAAAGAACCATTAATCTAGTTGGTTTCAGTTTGCACAGAGTTTCTCATGCCATTTTCTAGCCATTTCTTCATATTTCTTCATATTTCTTCATATTTCGCCAAATCTCATGACTCACGTACTTGTCCACTGAGATCTGCTTGGCTGCACTCCGTTGATCTCCCCGGCGCCAACTGGTCAAGTCATGGCCTGGAAAGATGATCTCCATGGGCTTCAGGGCCTGGTTGCACCCGGGACCCGGGGATGGTAAATGGTCGGGGATGGTTGGCTTTATCACATCGTAGTGTGCGTCATAATATATATATAGAGATATATATAGAGAGATATATGATATATGTTATGAACATATGTCTATATTGTGTATACGTATAATATATATATATATATATACGTTTGTTCATCGTGAGTGACTTGTATTCCAGTTGATTGTTATTACATGTTATAATTACCACATTGACTCTCATTTACCAACACAATCAGTACTCATTGGAATCATCATTCTTATAACCTACCAGTTCGAATAGAGTTTTGACCATTTAGAGGAAGACCAATGACATACTAAAAATGAATGACCTGGTACTGGAAAAGCGAAACAAATGAAAAGAGCAGCTTTCTGGTTTCCTTGCTCTAAATAGTGTTAGTCTTAGGGATGTTGGATGTTCTGTGTCAGACAGCAACACAGAAACATCTTTTCGGCATGCTTATGAAGACTACTTCAGGTACCTTCCAACGAGAAAAAGACGCCGCTAAACGGGAGATTTTGTCTTTTTTGTAAACAAAGTCCAGAAACCTTTAATCCAGTCTTGACTGCCATGTGTTTCAAGTTCATGATGAAAATAAGATGCATACATTGGCACACTACATCAACATTCATTTATTCTATGTCAAAACACCCAAAATGAAAGCTCTCCTTTGAGAAAAGACTCCAAGAATGTCGCATCTGGGACCCACCAGTAGAAAATGCTGGAGACTTCAAATGGCAATGCGGCGTAGTCCTGCCGAAACCCGCTGGCCAACAGGGTGGGCTGACTTTTGATTTTGACACAGAATCTGCAGGTTCTTTGGAGAAAAAACATGAAAATCAAACGCCATGTACAAGAAAGTCAAACGGAACTACAGCAACTGACTCTTTTTCAACCCCAGTGACAAGATCAAAGCAGGAACAGCTCCAAAGGCACGCTGTGTCTCATAAGCCTTGGCCCTTGGCTATCACGTCGTGGATTTCTCTGTGCAACTCAGCTTGAGATCAAACGAACCGATTCCTCTGCAGTTTGTTGACACAGGTAACATATATATATATTATTAACATATGGTAACATGAAACTATGGTAACTATGGTGAACTCTCACACCAAACGAACTACTGTTGACTTCTTTGCCCACCATTTGTGTTTTCCTTGTAGATGATACATGATGATTTTCTTTTTGATACTCTTTAAACCACTTTACACCACGTTAAACTGAAAATCACGTGCTGCCGAAAGCCAGGCCCCTACACCAGAGTCCTGGTCAGTTTTTGCCACCCCAATGACCAGCGGCATATTCCATGCAGCCGCTTTGTGCATGCCTTGGTCTGAGGTTTTGTTTGTGGGATCGACGAGCCCTTCACAATAGACTTATGCTCACAATTGAAATATGATGTACATATATAGTACATATATATATATGTATATATATATACATATATCATCTTCAAAATGTCTGGAACATGTAAGCAAACCCAATGGTTGTGTCGCACGCCAATGCATCAGAAAAACCTGAATGTCCACAAAACTAACTGCTGTTGGACAATGCCAAGTCGCCTTCCTCCATATTCCAACCATCCTGAGGCGCTGAGAAAGTGGGAATCCTTACCTCCCCGCATCAGTGGCAGCCGATCAGTAGCTCAGAATATCTCATTTTTCCGTGCAGATTCCATTTACCAAGTAAATTCAAGTGCCAGTGCGGCTTGAAGACAAGTGCATCTTTTGCAGGGTGTACGGGAACAGAAGGCGGCACGGATTTCAGCTTAGTTGCTTCATTTACTTGACGAGAGATTTCCCACAGATCTAAGGGTAATGAAGACTCTCTAGAACTCAAATGTCCATCATCAAAAGTAGCATAGGATTAGGATAGCATAGGAATTGCCGGTGAGTTCTCTACTTTTGATACACTAAAATTCACACACCATTTCCCTGACCTCGTTTCGTTTGGACAGTGTTTGTCTGTGATGTCTTCCCACACAAGCACTGATATTCAAGCAACAAGGCTGTATGCATACCTGGCGCTCGTAAATACGCATTGCGCAACGACTGACGGTCATTGATATCCATTGATAATATATGTTGGCCAATGGACATGGTCGCCCTATTGGAATTTTGGATGACGTGTATTACAATCGGTGTTCAAGAATGGACGACAGATGTATATTACATCGATCTCAATATAGGTTTATTTGTTATAATATATATATATATTATATTATATATATACATAGTATGTATAGTATGTATGTATATAAATATATATATGTGTGTGTATGAGCCGCCGTCAAGACTCTATGTCTTCGCCTTGCATTTTTTTGGGATATCGCTTTTTTGAGACATGGTTTTCTACTTCTAAGATGATGGAGGAAGAAATCTGCGGAAGGAAAGGAAGAGGAAAGGGACAAGAGGAAAAGGAGGAAGAGGGGAAGGGGAAAGGAAGAGGAAGGAAGAAGAGAGGAAGAGGAAGGAAGAAGAGAAGAAGAGCAAAGGAAGATCGGAAGCAGTGCCTCTCACCCACAACGAGGAAAGGTAGAGGAAAAGGCAAGGAGGAAAGGGTCCTTATGTGGCTGGAGGCTACTTTTTGAACAAATGGGTATCGCTAAGGTATTGTTGCGGGTATCGCTAATTTCACCTCTTGCATACATGCAACTTTGTGTAAAACAGCTTACAGTGTTCGGTGCACTTTGCAGACATAAATGAGCACTCCCTACTAAAGTGGTCCACGAGAGTTTTTTGACAGTACCTCATATATACTTGTGTATATACATAATGTTGTCACTTGCTCATATCTTCACAAAACAAGACCAAGAGATCTCGCTAGTGTCATCACCTTCGGATATGATCCTTCTTTATCCAGTCGTTGCAACTCCATGGGACTTGCCACAAGGGCAGAACATCCCTCCCAGGATGCCGGTTAAGGCCTCAATAGAAACCCTTACCCAACTGAGTATACTAGAATCACTTGGCATTGACGGGATTGGAGAATTGAGACGCACCAGTTTCACTCAGAAGCGGGACTTGCAACATTTTTGGTTGCCCAGGACCCGCCAAAATGGAGCCGATGATTTTCAAATGGTTTGTGTTCAGGATGATCCACGCGATACCTTTCCAAGTTAGTGCTTTTAGGCAGTTTTTGTTCCGAAAGCCCCCCCTCCATCAATCGCATTGAGACAGTCTACACTCTACACTTCACTGCATGTCAAGGTCTTTTGATGGTTTGGGATGCTTTAAAACCGTTCCTTTTAGAGACTAAGAGCCATAGCCATAGCACTTCAAGCATCAGAGCACCCCGCAGCCAAGAATCTCCACCCGTGAAAAACATCAAGCAGGTAGTGGCAATGGATAAGCCACGGCACGCAGGCGCATACCAATAGAAGTCTTCGAAACAACGTCCTGGTGACAACCACAATCCACATGGGATACCTGGCTACCACAGCTAACAGAAAGACATCCAATATGATGCTGTTGCTACTTGTACTTTTCTTTTATTGACCTGGAGTCTTGCTGAAGGTCAACTAGCATACTGGTGAAAAATAGACAACAACAGCACAACAGTATCAATGCCAATAATGATAAGTTGGTGACAGTGAAAGGAAAGAAAACATGAAGAGTCATTGAAACCTGCAAAACCTAAACCTAGACCTGCATACATTCTGCGATGGGTTGCTTGATTCCAAGGCAGTTTAACTAGCTGAAAACCAACAGAGATTTGGACACAGCATCCCCAGAATCCCCGAATTGCCGTGCCGAGCATCCTGTCACCACACCATCAAGGGTATCTACACCTTCGCTATCACCTGTAGCTTGGAAATACGCAGTCATCAAAGATCTCGACATAAGTCGCGTTTCATTGCAGGGTTTTAGTCTTGAAGTCAGTGACTCGTTGGAGACCTAGGCTCGAGGCAATGCTGAAATTCACGAGCCATCAAAACAACTGGTTTTGTCCAGGAATGGGATATTGAACCCCAATTGATAACCATCCTGCTTGTGTGTATATACAACAACCTGTATACATTTATGTATGTCTGTCTGTATGTATACTATACCATATATATATATATATACGTATATATACTGGACTAGGGAAATGAGGGGAAACCACTGGGATAATTTGCGTGTACCCTATTTTTGGACAGACCCAATGCCAGCAGACTTTGCTTTGCACGGAAGGTCATTCACCAAACTTCAGCCCACTTTTTCGGTTCCATATTCCGTGTGCATGCTACATAAGTGTATATGTATATGCATAGAGAGAGAGATATAGGTAGATAGATAGATAGGTAGATAGATAGATAGGTAGATAGATAGATAGGTAGATAGGTAGATAGGTAGATAGGTAGATAGGTAGATAGGTAGATAGATAGATAGGTAGATAGATAGATAGGCTATCTATATATGAATATACAAGGGTCGCTAGGGGGCTGACACTTGCCCGAAATCCACGGAATCCCATGCGGGACTACCCTCTGCGGTGTTGTTTCAGCTAGTGTTTTTACGCAAACTGCGATCATACAAAACATTGATATATCCTGCGTCTAATTTGGCATTTTTGCGCTTACCTAAGATGATGCCAACATCAGCTTTCGAACCATGTTTTAAACATATTCTCCGTAATATGAGGTGTTTCGAGCCATGAACATAAACCTTGACAAACCGTAAAAACTTGAAAGAACCCGAAAATAACCCAACCTTAAATAAACCCTAAACAAACTCCAATCCAACCTTAAATCAACCAAAACTAACTCCAAAGAAAGCCTGAAAAAAAAACTGTAAAAACCCTAAAACGCCCTCAATAGCACCGAACATTCATTAGACAAACCCTAAGCTTGAGGTCAAGGGACAGGGGACGAAAGCTAGTTGGGCAAGGAGATATGTGTATTGAGAGAATATGTAGCGCGACCTTTTGAGTGTCAGTTTTTGAACTGAAATAGACTACCATTCGACGCTGCCGACACGCTAACAGCAGCGTATCATGATATTCTAGTTCACATGCACCATAAATATTCATTCCACAACCCACCCCCTGACATCCCAGGATACCAGCGTCAACATTACGCTCCTAGCGCTCCACTTGCCAAATACAAAGTGCCCCAACCAAACGCACTTCGGCTGAGCCACTTTGCAACCATCTGATTGAACCTCTTTTCCTTGGCCTTTCCTTCCTTTCTCCTGTCCGTGACATGCTATTTATTTATATATATATACATATATATATATGTGTGTGCACACATATATCTAAGTATGTATGTATATATATATATGTGTGTGTGCGCGTCCACTATAGAAATAACCAAGACTTAGCATCTGGTAACTTAGGTTCATACATCCATCGAGCAAGAGATGTTTGGGAATCTTAAGATGCGCATCTTCCATTCCTCGTTAAGACCGGGTCATGTTTTCATGCAGGTCTCTTGAGGAAATGGAGTGCAAGACTCCAAGTGGATGTTCTCTCATTGCATTACCTTGCTTTACGTTACATTACATAACGTTACGTTAGAGTGGAGCAGAGTACATTACATTAGCTTTCGTTACATTAGGTTACATTAGACGAGGTTGCATTACATTACATTACATTACATTACAACGTATTGCATTACATTGCATTTCATTACATTGCATTACATTCACAACGCTCACGGTGAATATCATCTTGTACATTCGTGTGAGGGGGCATGCCGATGAAACCCAGGGGGATGGACGCAGCGGGGTTTGAGCCCGAGGGGGGGTCACAGTTCGACACGAAAGATCATGGGAGCTGCATCCAGTTTGCCCCCAATTCATGGCTAAAAGCAAATCCAACTCCAGCTAGCAAGCTAGTTTTCGTGATAAGCCCTGAACCAACTCTGAAGAAAATCTAAACCAACTTCAAGTAAACCCTAATACAACACAACCTTAGATAAATCCTAAACTGAACCCAAAGTAACTAGACTAGACCTTCAATTAAACTTGGGCAAACGTCCGCCCCAGAGGGACAACTGTATACACAAATACACACATGCTGATATGATTATATATATATGTATATGTATATGATATTATATAATGACATATTTATTGATGTGCATATACTGTATACCGTGAATATATATATACATACACTGGGGCAGCACACTACCATCAAGACTGACCTGAAAACAGTGAAAACATATTTATGAAAACATGGATGTATCAAAGGCAGGCGACATTCACCTGATCGAAATATCTGGCAGGGTTGTGGACGGAGCTGTTGTAGCTGAGATAGACATGCAAGGGAAGACCTTCAGCCTGATAAGCTTCCTGCTGAAGCGAGGAAGGTACATATATCGACCTGGCGAAACGAATGGAAGAAGCGATGCAACGATGCAATGAACGGATCCATTTGAGATGCTGAAATTCTTTGGCCTTTGGCATCATTTTGAGATTGATTCTCAATGTGGGGGGGCACCCTGGTTTGTCAGAGAGTTCCTTCTATTGTCTGTGAGTATTGCCATCCTTGCAGGGAAGAGAACACACCCAGCCTAGTGCCCACGTAGCCAATGTTCCCAAGATTCCTGCAGGATCTTAGGTTACGATATGTGTGTTTGGGGCTGGAGGATGTTGGCGGCAGCCCTGATTTAGAGTGGTCACATGTTGTCACTAATAGTCCTGATTTCACCAAGCGGTCAGCCGCGAGGACCAGAAATCAATTTGCAGCGGTCCTGGGAGCTATATCTGGATATTCTCGATGCAAGAGATCCCAGCTCAATTGATAAGACTCCGTCCAGCCCAAGCTCACGTGATCATTTGTCCTCGGTATATTGGCGGGAGGAGGCCACTTCAAGGTTCGCAGTAAGAGAAGTCAGCTGAGGTCAAAGTGGACTCAAGTCTTTAATTTGCGTACGATGCGGTCAAATCCATGAAAACTGTTCACAGTTGGCTGTGTCATGCCAGTATGTATCAGTATCCCAGCCACACATGAACATTAATTCCTAAATATATGAGTTCAATGATTTCTGAAGTTGTCGTCTTCAGATTGCACGTTTGCTTTCGGAAATGATGGGCTTCTCTTCTGGTGCGGAAGCCACTCCCGATCTTGGATGATATGCATCATCACAGGCCCATGAGTGTACTGATAACTACTGTAATGATATACAGTACATATATTATCATATACTTGGTTTTAGAGGATACAAGTAGTGGCTAGTTAGAATATGCCCCGGCGTGCCTTGTGCAATTCAGCAGGTTGATTTGTCGACGCATAGGATATTCGAACAAACACTACATTGATTTAGGGATTTTAGAGTTTCGAAGCATAGCCCTCGCCCAAAAGGTTCTTCGAGATCTGCTTCCCATTCCATGTTCCGATCCAAACCATGTGCACCCAAGCTTCGCTTCATCTTCGCAACTCAGATCATGACTGGTTTCATTCACTGAACAACCACCCAGCGCATACATGGCATCCAATGTCGTTGCCCCAGCACTTCCACTGGTCAACAAGAGATATCCCAACCTGTCAACTGTCAGACAAGTGATCCAAAATCCCGTGGTATATCATCATTCTCCCCACCAAAATAATCCAAAATAGCCATTTGGAGTGTCCCGGCATTTGGGCGGTTTTCTCAAAATGCGGGGATCCCCAAAATGGATGGTTTATGATGAAAAACCCTTTTAAATCCTTTTAAAATTATTGATTTGGGGGTACTCCTATTTTAGGAAACCACCAATTTGGAGAGCTCATGATAAATCATGATAAAGCCATGTTTTGCTAGGGACACGACCAAGAAACATCAGGACATCGATTGCAGCTTCGAACGGCAAAACTTCTAGCCAAATCCGAAATCCACATCTGTCGGAAATTAACCTTCAATACCAAAGTTTAAGTTTGCATCATCAGAACATCTATATATAGTCATACAGTCGATGCGTGTCACCATGTGTCACCTCTACATCACCCACTTTGCTTCCAAATTCCACATTGCCTCTCTTGGATGAGAATCTCTAGCACGGCAGTCGTGGCTTTGGCCGCGGCCCAATCGGGAGCAAAGATGCTCAGTGGCCGCGGATAGGTCAGCATCCAATTTGCAGTCACTGCCAACTCTGGGAGGTCAAGAGCTGTTAAGTTCTTCCGCTGCGCCTAAGGGCTGACCAGTCGATCTGCATCTGTTTAGTTTACCTTAAAGAGTCGTGAAGTAGATACATACGCATGTAAACCATAGAAATGTACATTTCTATGGTTTACATGCGTATGTACACTTATACATACGCAGACACCACAGTGCTAATTAGTGCAAACGAAAAGATTCTTTCCCGAATCCATGTTGTTGTTTTTCCGGCAGCAGACAATTGTCTGTTGCTGGATTCGTGATGATTCTTTATAGCATATCAATACACGTCTGATACATATACTATGAATATATCGATATCAATATACCGATATAAATGAATAACATATGGAATATATGCAATAGTGCAATAGCATTTATCTATACATACTGTATATGTTGTGCACACCATATATACCCATATAGTAATTACAAATAACTACAATACATACAAATGACCCACACAATTCTCTAATTCTTGACTCACCTATCTCATCTTTGCAGTCCAAGTCTCCAACGGAATGGCATCAGACAAACAATCGCCTGAGCGGTTCAGGGCAGGGCAGGATTCAATCCCATCACCATGTGGAGATGATCTACCCTTCAATCCTATAAAAAGCTCCTGATATCTGTGCACTCTTTGTTCCTGAACTCTGGAAAAAAAAAAACGAATTAAGAGTATTGTAGAGGTGTAAACAAAACTCTACGGCTCTAAACTATGTTCAAATATCATCGAATATTCTTGAAACAAGATATGAAACGCCAATGTTCGTTCCCCAGTGTCCTTCAACTTCTGCGAAGTGCAGCATGAGAAGAAGCCAAGCACATTGCAACATTGGAGCCATGGCTACCGCTTGCACTGCGCGTGGCTTGGAGGGCTGGTAGCGGGTGGTAGGGGTTAGTATCTGTTGGAATTTAAGTGGAAACTCCGCAGCAGCTCTGCGGAAGCCCCAATGGCTAGGTTGACGAACTTCTGATAAGTGCAAATCTGTGTTCTTTCCCCAAAGAACCTCAATGGCAACGTTTGCAATGTGATTGGTGATATTACTTATACGGTTCCTTCTTCAATCGACCAGGGTGGGTCAAAATGTGGAGCAAATGGGACCCTATTCCACGCAAAGGATTCCCGCTCTTGAGAGCTCGTCTTGGCAACTATAATTCGCTAACTATGAACGGATTGAAATGGTGGATGTTTGTGGACCCCAATGTTAGCTATACCCAGCCGTGGACTTGTCTTAGCAGCAAAACCCAACCGTCAGCTGTTGGGCCTGCCATTTGCCGGAGGTAACTAGCCTCACAGTGAAGGTGACGCCAACCTGCCAGGTATGTGTCAGGGTATGGACCAGAGGCAGGTGCGAGCTTCTCCAGAGCCACTGGACATCATTAGACCATGAACAAATGATGACTTGAGTTGACTTTAGTTGACTTTAGTGTCCTGGTTTGAGAAATGTGAGCTCTCCGCAAGCTCTTGAAGACTATTGGAGCGGTATCCAGTTAGGAGCCAGACCGCTTTTCTGCAGAAAAGCTCCGAGCAGTTTGCTATACTTTTCCAACATCCCCGAGTCCCTATGGGCGAATGGAAAGACATTTCAACAGACTCGAGCACACGGCAGGCCAAAAAAAACGAAGACCAGGACCACAGCAAGGCGGCCTCGTCAGCAATCCTCCAGCATGTACCTCCGAGATCAGGAGAACTGGAGTCATCCGTTGGGAGACCTTGAGACCCTGACAAAACCCCCCAAGGATGAACATCGAAACCGCCAATAGACCCTTAAATTACATAAATGCATATAATATATATATATACATACATACGTATATATATATATATGGGTGCGAGTCAAAAATCGGGTATGGATCGCTCCGCGGTGATCCGTACTATGGATCGCGAGTGCTTACGTAAGGTGCCTGATCCGTACCCTTTCGTAAGGGCTCATCATAGCATACAAACTGTGCTGATACTCCCCGACTCGCTATTACTTCTCCTCCTGCTACTGTTGCTGCTAAAACTGTTACCACTGCTTGTCGAGGGAGCAGAAAAAAAAAACAGCACCAGCAGCAGTAGTGGCAATAGAAGGATAAGATGCAGCAGCAGTAGAAATAGCAGTAGCAGTAACAGTAGTACTAGTAAAAGTCAATAGTAATCTAATGGTAGTAGCAGCAGTAGCAGCTGCAGTAGTACTAGGAGTAGTAGGAGTAGGAGTAGGAATAGCAGCAGCAGCAGCAGCAGCAGCAGCAGCAGGAGCAGGAGGAGTAGTAGTAGTAGTAGTAGAAGCAGCAGCAGCAGAAGTAGTAATAGAATCGGACTTTCATATTGGCATTTGTTGTGGCGTGACTGGGTTCGGGTATGGATCGGGTATGGAACGGGTATGGATCGGGACACGCTATCTGGGCCGGCTTTCACGCTATGTCTGTGAAGGAAGAGAGCGGGGTACATCAAGTCTAGTCTAGTTCTACACGTGCCAGATAAAGCAGAAACAGAAGGAGTTGTAATCATAGCGCCACTAGAAGTACAAGAAGCACCTAGTGGAACTAGAACCGGTCTTACTAGCCTCCAAGGTGCGCTTGCAATATTGCTAGTAGCTACTCAACTAGTTGCATTTGTCCAACTACCAGAAGCACACGGAGGAAGTGAACCAGCACCAGCAGCGAGAGCAGGACCAGCAGGAGCAGCAGCAGAAGCGACAGCAGCAGCAGCAGCAGCAGCTCCTGGGAGGAAGATGACTAGTAGTGGCAGCAGCAGCAGCAGCAGCACGGAAGCAGCGGAGGCAGCGGAAGCAGCAGTAGCAACGATAGTAGCAACAGTAGTAGCAACAGTAGTAGCAACGGGAGTAGCAACGGGAGTAGCAGTACGAGGACCAGAAGCAGTATTAGGATAAAAAGCAGCATTAGGGCCAGCATCAATCTTTCGTCAATGAGAAAGGGGTATGGACCCGGGGTATGGATCAAGGGTATGGATCATGCAGTACCACAGGGTATGGATCAAGGTATGGATCGGGGGGTATGGATCGTGTGTGGGTTCGGGGCCTTGATCCATACCTTGTATTTTGACTCGTACCCATATATATAGAGAGAGAGAGAAAGGCATGTTTGCATCTGACTGCTATGGCTCAACTATAGGACGATGAAACCTAAAATGGATCTTGATATCTTGAAATGTCCATGGTACGCCATCAGCTTGCCGTCCCCTCTGGCACTGGATGCTTGTCAGGGTTGACCTTGGTCTATCTAAGGACATCTGAAATCATCCCGGGTTTTTTCTGGAAACAGCCATATCAGGAATCAAATTCAACACTGGTACCAGGTAGAGAATGACAATAGACCTGTATACAATCCTAGCGTGCCGGCCTACCCACAGTCTGACGGTGTTGGGGCCTCTCTGTAAAGGTCCTTCACCCAAGTAAGCTCTGGAGCCTGAAAGGCACACATGATTTGGAACATTGAACCATACTGAAGCATCCATTTTTGGAGTTTGCAGGGAAACATTGGAAGACTAGATGTATACCTACTCAACTACTTAGAGAATTCCATGACTGCAGAAATTCCTCAGTTCTAAAAAGTGGCCTGATCTTAGCCCTGCGCCTGATTGGTTCCATCCTTCCTGCGGCTTCAAATGGCGTTTCTGCGCCCCGTCCAGCACAATACAGAAGTCCTGCCCAGCCATGGCCACTGCAATGGATGGGGCTGGTTGAGAGCCATGCGCCGGTGTCTACACTATGTGGGATTGTCTGAGCATTTCAACCCTCAAATCCTAAAGTTTCTCATCATTGCCCCCCCCCTCCAAACAAAAAAAACACATTTCGGGGTACCATTTCGAGATGTTTAAGACACGCCGATACTTTTTGTATGTGCTGCATTTTGTTATCCAATGTCCCAAAGGTTTCGACATCACAGGTGGGATTAGGTTAAAGGCAGCAAGTCGCTCTCTGCGCCTCACAGATTTGGTTCATCTTCAGATTTGCTGCGAACACCCCTGGAGCCTGATGCAGGTGTGGCTAATGTTGCTCCAAATTGTCATACTCGGCCCTGGCCTGTAACGTATGTGTATATAGTATACATAAGTGCATGGATCTTTGAAGAAAGGTCTGCAGGTATGCAAGTCGACGGCGACTTTGGGATTGGAACCCAATGATAAACTCCTTTGGACACTCTGTCGTCATCCCAACTACTTTGGTCAATGGATGGCGTGGCTTGCCTTCTCCATTGCATCCTTGCCATCATTCCAAGCTTTCGCAGGCTATGACATTGCCATGTTGTGGTCCGTCTTATAATACATATGTATGTATGGATGTATGTATGTATGTATGCATGCATGCATGCATGTATGTATGTCTGTATGTGTGTATGTATGTATGTATGTATGTATGTATGTATGTATGTATGTATGTATGTATGTATGTATGTATGTATGTATGTATGTATGTATGTGTGTGTGTGTGTGTGTGTATGTGTATGTGTATGTGTATGTGTATGTGTATGTGTATGTGTATGTGTATGTATATGTATATGTATATGTATATTATATGTATATGTGTATGTGTATGTGTATGTGTATGTATATGTATATGTTTATGTGTATGTGTATGTGTATGTGTATGTATATGTATATGTATATGTATATGTGTATGTATGTATGTATGTATGTATGTATGTATGTATGTATCTATGTATCTATGTATCTATGTATCTATGTATCTATGTATCTATGTATGTATCTATGTATGTATCTATGTATGTATCTATGTATGTATCTATGTATCTATGTATGTATGTATGTATGTATGTGTGTGTGTGTGTTTGTATGTGTGTATGTGTGTATGTGTGTATGTGTGTGTATGTGTGTGTATGTGTGTGTATGTGTGTATGTGTGTATGTGTGTATGTGTGTATGTGTATGTGTGTATGTGTATGTATGTATGTGTATGTATGTGTATGTATGTGTATGTATGTCAATGTATGCA